ATGCACAGTTTCGGTTCAAAACCGAAATAATGCATATGCACTTCTGGCACGCAGCAAACCTTAGACTGCTTTAAATAAAACAGACTTATCAATACTCGAAGGACGACCAGTTAGTCTAGACATAATTTACGCAACGTATTTTAATATAATGCCCAAAGCAATATTTTTTTGTAAAGAAATTTTTTGATGTGAGTTATAGGCGGGCAAGTGAACATCAGCTGAGAAGGAGAATAAAAAAACAGGATATTTCCGTTTCTTGCTGAGTTGACGTGTTTAGTAAACATTTCTTACGCAAGTTAAGTTACGCCCACACTAACTAAACTATAAGCCATTTTCATTTCCTCCCAAGCGCCGATGATATTCCGCTTTAGTTCTAGGACTTGTCAATTTAAATAAAACGTCATTTCATCTTCTGAGTTACCCAAATTATCATCTTTTCGGCTTCGTTTGTGTACGAAGATCGAACCCATCATTGCTAACGGATCTTTGAAATGAATTTTTGTGAACCTCGGGTCGGGTAAAGTTAATGCAGCTCGCAAAAACGAATGTTCGATGGATGGATTTTACCGGCTGTCTTCACGTACTGGAAAATCTCGCTTGCGTGACGACACATGCGAGATCCCGCACGTGTAGGCCGCAAAAAGTACGAAGCATACTTTTTCTCGCATACTGAGCGGTTTTCGAGCTCTCGCGTGCTTTCAACTATCATTTTTGTTGCTTGACAGGTATTTTCTAATTTCGCAGAATTCTTCAGAGTAGAAATATCGTTTATTTTGAAGGAAAATACAAATTTAGCCTGAAAAGCTCGAACCTTATTTTTTGGCGACCTTTTACTAATGAAGAAGTATGCTGTCAAATGACCAGTCAACAACATGCAGGTTTTTTTTTGGCGTAGTTTGAAGCATATATATAACAATTACCACTGTTTTAATTCTGTCCGCACTGTCACGCCCTTCATCGCCTCCTAGTCAACATCCATTATCCTCAAAGGACCACCGTTTATTGCTTCACTGGCGTTCCGCGTAGAGAATATTCTGGACTATTTGTAGCTCTTACTTCAAATTCAGGTGTCGCCAGGTAAAGGACATCTATTCGTTCGCCGCTTGATTGAATATGCTGCTAAGCATTTAACGATGTTATTAACGTCACTTTTCATTTGTTGTGATCTAATATCAAAAGTGACTTTTTATTAAGAACTCCTACTGCAGTTTTATAATGCTGATTTATTTTTCTTTGGCACGAGCAGGTCCATTGTTTGCAGACCTGAGTATGTAGTGGGTTCGAAACTGGCAGTTTGTGGTGGTACAGTAGACCGAGTTGTTCCATCTTTGTCAGAATAGTTTCCCCGCTTTCACCTGATAAGTCGTCCACTTTTTCATCATCTTCACTTTCGTCTTGTGGGTCGTATTCTTTTAACCGGGTTTCTTCTATATCCCAGTCCTCTGGAGTTACATCATATTCGTTATCGTCCACAATCTCTTCAGATACCAAAGGCTCGCCGTCACTAGTTTCCTCGCCTACATCTTCAAACCTCTGGCGAATGCTGTTCCTCAGCATCAAGTGCACTAAGTTGTCGTGGAGTGAGTCATTCAACATCTTCCATTTTTACTTTTGTATATATTATCATCGTAAGAATTATTTGCGTCTACTTGAAAAACCCTTTTCTCATATAATAATACAAGTTTTATACCTAAACAATCCTTTTCTCATATATATTCAAAAGCTACGATCATAAAGTGTGGTCTAAAAAAACTCATTATTTAAACAGTAAAATAACATATTTCTCAAATCTTGTTTTACATACATACTTAAAATAGACATATGTATATTTATAAAATAGCGAGAGCCACTCTTCTGTCTTTTACTGATGTTTTAAAAAGGTTTTTTGTTATTATAGAGCACGTGCGAATTTAACGAATCAACAAATATATATATACATACATACATATATAAGTTACATGTACAAAATTCATATACATATGTATACATACATGCAAAGCCATTGAGGCACTGGGAGATCATATCATCGCCACTAAGGCATCCAATCCCGGACCATTTTATGAAACCCGGGATTTCGGGAGCCTAAATTGGTAATCTCGGGATCCCGGAATATTTCGGGATGTAGTAATCTTATTTATCTTTAAAATTTAAATTTAAATAAATAAAAGATCGTAGACAATAACAATAAATGTTGTGTGTCTGCATTGCACTTAGAACTAAACAATATTATATATATATATATATATATATATTTAAGAAAACTCATTTACAATCAGCTCTCTATATTTAAGGCAATTACTTATATAAATATGCAGCGAACGACAATTATTATCATTAAGAATATTTAAAACTCTTGGCAGGTGCAAGACTTTCTCACCAAAACAATCGGAGCGAATATTTTTATATATAGGACATCCCCCAATGAAATGGTAGGTGTCTTCAACAGCTCTCACATTGCAAATAGAGCAGGTCTTAGAAGAAATATTTTTAAAAGATCTTGCATTAGGATTAAGTAAGCCACCTCTTGCGCGAAAAATAAGGCATCTAGCATACGCAGTATAGTCATCATTAAAGTAGGTAGGGCCTGTAGGTATTAGATCCGGGTAAAGGTCATGCGTTTGGAACTGGTGTGCTCTTTCAGTTAAGCTCGCAAACTCTATTTGGATCAGCTTTTCTAATATTAAAGGAATGTTCTTTTTAAGCAGAGCAGGGGAGAAATCATGTTTCGGGATGTTCTTACCATTAATTTAAATATGCTAACAAATTAGCTTAGTAGTCTTTCTATGGTGCGGATACTAGAAATAAAAGTATTACTATTAACAGTTGAACTTTTTGAAGTTGATTTGCATAGTGAAGAACAGTAAATTTGGGATTTACAAGTACACCATCGTAATCATTTTACCAAAAATAAAAAAATATGTCATTTTAAGATAAAATTCGGAATTCTGGCTTTCAGTCTTGAAAGATGGTTTTATTTACTCTTGACTACTAGAAATAATACACTCCAATTCTTAAGTTTATTTTCATTTCATTCGGTATCGATTACCGTGGAATGAGCCTATATGGAGAGATAGCTTTTGCCTATTAATAATACTCTGGCATTAACGCTCAGCAATTGCTTTTTTCGTTCTTAAGAGTCCGAGAGAGATAATAACATTTTCAACAGGGCCGGAGTTAAATGAAGAAAATGATGAGGAAATATATTTATGAGCTGAAATATGCCAACCGAAAATCTTTATAACCACTTACCTACATACATATTTCGGTAATCAATTTATCAATATCTACCAACTTGGTACAGTTATAGGTACAAAAAATCAATATGTTGGAAATTTTCAAAATCCGACTTAAATTACGCCCTCTTCCCTTCCGTGCTTCTTTGCAATAAATTTCAAAAGTTGTTCTTACTCGCTTTGGGCGCCCAGTTAGTAGTTTCTCATCTCAACCGACTCTGTTTAAATACATTCAAACACGCCTAATTGTTTAATTTGTGTTACTTGCGAAATTCGAGCGGAAGACGTGCTCGAGCCGGCTGTGCTGATAATGAGAGGCACTATTGGCATAGCTTTTTAGTTGCTGCTCTGCTGACAATCGCTTCAGTTGTGAATTTAAAGTGCCATCCGGAATTAAAGAACAATAGTACATACATAATAGTTAAAGTAACGAGGTGGGACGCGATATTGTGGCGAAATACATACATATGTACATACATACTTTCAGAGGGAATAAATTTCATCGAATAAATAATAATAATATCAATTAGAAAAACAAAAAGAATTAACACTAAAATGCCTCAGTCTGTAAGTGAATTCATAAGTACTAATATATCTACATATAAGTATAAATGTACTCATATATAACTGCATATACTCCTACATACATACATACATACATACGTTTCTAAATATGTACATATACAGGTGCATACATATGTTAGTGTAGGAATGTATGTGTTCTTGCATACACTATTTTTTTTTCTAATCATATGAATGTATGTATGTATACATATGTATGTACATATTTGACCTTTATTCGCATTGAGCATTGAGATTTCATGAACATGGTCAGATTATTTGAATTTTCGCTCTTCCACTCTCATTACTTACTCACTTTAATCGGCAGTCAGTTATACAAATTTTATGTTCAGTCGAGGTATTCACAGTTCGTTCTGGAATACAACATCAACATTTTGTAACTTTTTCAGCATTAAACTGTCGGAAATCGATGCAAAATAGTTGCAAAACCCATTTTGAAATCAACTGTGAACACCGCAAATGTCATCGCGCTCCTTTAGATTGCATTTCTTCCCTCATTTAATTGCTCAGAGTATAGCCGCGTTCAATAACAAAAACATTTGTAATAGTTATTTCTAAGTTTTGAAAGTAGGCGTTCGATAACGCCAAAAAATTATCCATCACTTAAAAATTGAGATTGGATTTGTCGCATTTTGGTAGCGTTTTGGCTGCCTGGTATCTGACTTTATGATAGTACTAAAGGCCATATCACAAGATTGCCGCATTTGTACAGATTTGTTCAAATTGGCAGTCACAGAATGGTGTTGTCTAGTATTTTTTTACCGAGAATAAAAAACAATACCAAACAACACCACTTTGTAACTTTCAAAATGTTGAAATTTGTACAAATGCACCAATCGCGTGTTTTGGCCTTTACATGTTTTTACTTCCAGAAATGTTCCTGGCGAACATTCAACGTTCCGTTTCCTTTTTTTCTTCCATGACGACACCATACATTTCTGTTTCTTTACAAATATAAATAAAGTCAGTTCCTGTTTTTGTAAGTGATGTCTTATTTTCTGTTCAGTAACTGTTTTTGTTTCCCTCTCATTTTGGAGAGGATTTTCGCTTACGCTCTTGATTTGGATTGCTGGCTGGTTAAAGCTAATTTTGTTATAGAACACAACTTATATTTCATTTACTCTCTCGCACATATGTACATATGTATCTAGTTATCAATTTATGTATATGTTTTTGCCATTGCAGGGATCATCGTTTCTAAAACGTGCCAGCGCCGATAAACTCCGGGAAGTCTTCCTTAGATACGCTTCATTACAAAAGGATGGCGACTACTACATGACCAGTGAGGATTTCGTGCGCAAATTTCTCGGACTCTTTACAGATGCGACATTCAATGATGTGAGTAAATGTACATTGTTTATACTAATATAATTTATACTAATATAATTTATACTAATATAATTATCTACACATGTATGTATGTACAAACATATTTACTAGGTACATAGATATTTATTTACATACCTATTCATTTGATAACAAATAACACGTACCGTTTGCAAAGACCTTAATGATCTTTTGCGTCATGTTGTGTGACGCTATTCTATTATTTAAAATAAAAAATTTTGATCGTACATTTACGTACAAACATAAAGTTTTTCGCGTAAATACATTCATACATATGTACATGCATATGTATGTACATATGTACCTAAATAGCAACTAGGTATGTACATACATTGGATGTTGTAGTTCTCATAATTGAAGGCACCCACACAAACTTTTTCGCGTATAGATAATAAAATAGAAAAAAATTGTCATGAAAGTTCTACAATGATACCAACAGTTGGCATACACATTAGGGTGCCCCATTATTTTCCCTTTTCCTAAACTATTTTCGGATTATTTTAAAAATTGTAGATCGAATAAAATCGGGTTACAAATTCATGAAAAACTAATTAGATCGTGTTTTCTTTTTAAGTTTTAATAACGGTAGTCTTAAAAGAACCCCACAAAAGCGTTTTGGTTTTATATGGGGATCAAACTAGCGTCCGAATCCCTTTTCTGAGGAATAGTCTAAAATTTTCAGTCTCACTCAAACAAATCAATATATTTCAAGGTGACAGGTAACAAGATCAACAATTGGCACTATTTCCCATAGTGATGCGAAATAAAATCAATTGACATTATTTCCTTTTCAAAAGAGCAATAAAATTAACAAAAATTTGGAAATAATGTAAATGATGCTACTTCCTAATTCAAATGGAAATTGCGTCAACAATGCTTAAAGTATGTCGATACAAAGAAAAATGTTGTTCGCGCATCGTACGTGAAATATGTACATTATATGTACGAAACAATAAACAGTGCTATTAATCAACATAATCACGAACCACCAATTGATTTTAATAAAAAAAAAAAAATATTTAAAATTACGAATACGAGAAATATTTGGTGAAAAGTGTAAAAATAATCCAGAACTTGCAAAATATGTTTCGTTTCCGCAAAAATAAAGCGAACACTAGCTGCATTTTTTTGTAAACGAGCGACAAAAGAACGTTCAACTTGGGTAACATTTTCTTCTAGTTACTTAATCAACCCTGTTGGTATCTGGCAAGAAACATGTGATTAGTTTAACGGGATTTAGACACAAAAGATAATAGAAATGAGGAATTATGCAAGGTAATTGCGTAATATATATACTATTTAAAATATAAATAATGTATGTATATACGAAAACAAAACCTTCCATCTCCACTTTCCTATTAAAAATTCACAATAGAGTAACGGGTGATTTTTTTGAGGTTAGGATTTTCATGCATTAGTATTTGACAGATCACGTGGGATTTCAGACATGGTGTCAAAGAGAAAGATGCTCAGTATGCTTTGACATTTCATCATGAATAGACTTACTAACGAGCAACGCTCGCAAATCATTGAATTTTATTACCAAAATCAGTGTTCGGTTCGAAATGTGTGCGCGCGCGTGTGTTTTGTTCAGCGATGAGGCTCATTTCTGGTTGAATGGCTTCGTAAAT